GAAGATTCGGTTTGAGATGATTAATCTTCTTCTTCATTATAACTAAAGTAAATTTTGAAATGTGTTTACAAAATCTCCCCATTAACGATCCTCAAATCCAATAAATTAATTTGTCTTTTGCTTTTTGATAAATTCAGAAACTAAATTCATTTTTAAGTATATGATTGATTAATAAAATCTTAGTGGATTATTAGGTTGAGTTGATATCTACGTTGTTGCAGTTAGTGGAAAATGGTCTTTAAAACCTTATATGATACCATTGTGAATTTGTGATTGGACTAAATAAATATGGAAATTTTGTTGTACTTTTAATTCCTCCAATATGGTTATGTACTATATCATCTTATGTACTAGATGAAATTTAACCAAAAAAACATATTTGTACTGCAATAAAGTGGCAATAATATAGTTTTCTTTATATTTCTTGTGTTGCAAAGGTAAGGAAATCATAGGTGCTTTTTTTTTTGTTTCTCTACAATTAATAATGGATGGGTTTATACACTTATTATTATTTTCTTATCAACAACATACACAGTTATTTTGATTATGGTAGAGTATTTGATGATGCATTAGAGAATGAACTGAATGATAGAATACATTCAAATGCATTGAATGATGAGACTGCTCTGTCACTCAATCATCTAGTCGCTTTGTTTTCCCTTTTTTTAGGGTTAATTTGCTCAATACCAAAAAAATTTAATAATTAGAGCACTAACTAAAATAGGGGTATGTGGCATAATTATATACACTAATTGTAGGTTAATTGGTTATGTTCTTAGTTATAATTTTTTTTTGGGTTATTCCACCCAATTTCCCTTCTTTGTATCCCTCTACTATATGACACTTTTTTTTTTCCATATTTCACGAGAATTTTGTCTTTTCAACAATTAAATTATTCCAAACACTAATAAAGAGCTTGAAATGCGATTTTGTTTGTTCTACAAGTATGAATTAAGAACGTTTAATAGGATTGTATCAACTAATAAAGTAATAGCTTTAATAATTAAGAATATATTTTTGAATAATACTCCTATATATATAGGAAGAAAGAAGAAATGGACTCATGGAGTATGAGTAAGCGACAAGAAGAGGGAAATGACAAAAGCAAAAAGATTAAAAAAATATAGGAAAGTGACCTAAAAAGTAAGAAGAAGCACATGGGAGTGGCCATGCCTTGTCCTCTTCTTTCCTTTTTAGCTCCATCTTATTAACTTGCACGAAAACTCTTTTCTTCACATTTTCATATGTTATATCTAAACTATTACGTATTATTCTATATAGAATCATATGTAACGATATGTGTATATCTTAATTAACAAACAATATATCACCAGTTCGTGTCTTCAAAACCATCTCGATCAAAGTAATTTGCAATCCCTTCACGAGCCAATGGTTCCACGGTTTTCGCTCTCTCGAGGCTCTTGGATCGATCGTTCTTGCGGATTACGATTTAGTCGTCGATGCAAACACGTTCGAAGGTCGTTGCAGAGTTTATGTAGTGATTTGCAAACGAGGTTGAGGTTGAATAAGTTCTTGAATGAAGAAGGAAGCCACACGAGTCAATATCTCATTGATAACGACCTCTTCGGGGAGAGGTGATCAATGATAGAAATATAATTAGGGTTTTAAAGTAAGACGTTTTTGTTTAATTATGGATTTAAGTAGATATGATTGGTCTCAGTCTCAATATAATGATAACATTAGCATTTAAAAAAAAAAAACTTAAACTATCATCATAGCTATAAATTTATTAATTAATGTTTTTCCTACACGTAAAATCAAATTATATATCTTCTTGAGATATCAAAGGTCATAATTAATTAATGAAATATCTACATTACCCCAACCATTATCGAAATCTTTGTTTTTTTCCATTCCAATCCGTCATTAATCTCTGGTCCTCCAATTGTTTGATAAATCTTTTTAGCATGGAACACTTGTGA